CGCGAGGACTGGATGTGGCGGGGGGGCCACTGGGCACCACTGCCCTCAGCCCCCCCGCCGTGCCCCTCATAGGAAGCCTACACCCGTGTGCTGATGGGCAACATCGACCTGTCCCGCCTCGTCTTCCCACCCAACACGGCCGGTGGGTGCCAAGCCAGGCATGGGGCAGCACAGCCATGCCCAGCCCCCCCCAGGGCATGGGGAGGAGGAAGAGGGCAGGGGGGGCCCTCATCAGCCCACTGGCCCTCATCCCCCTTGTCGTTCCCCAGGGAGAACGGTGGAGGCCTTTGCCCGACGGGCACTTTGGGAGGTGGGACTCAACTACGGCCACGGGACCGGCCATGGCATCGGCAACTTCCTCTCGGTCCACGAGTGTAGGTGCTGCGGCACCGGCGGTGGGGACACGGGCTGGGCTGTGGGGGACAGGGACGCAGACAGGGATGAGGACAGGGGCTCAGCTGGAGCTCCTCATAGCCCGGCTGAGCCTCTTGCTGAGGGCGGGTGTCCCCCACCTGCAGGGTGCTGTGCTCCTTGTGAGGGTGGCTCCGAGCTCCTTGCTGGGGTGACTGCGTGGTCCTTGCTGGGGTGATGCCTCGGTCCTTGCAAGGGTGGTCTCATGGTCTTTGACAGGATGGCCATGTGGTCCTTGTTGGGATGGCCCCATGGTCCTTACCAGGGTGGGCCACAGTCCTTGCTGGGATGGCCCTGCAGTCCTTGCTGGAATGATCCAATGGTCCCTGTCAGGGTGGCCCCATGGTCCTTGCTAGGGTGGCTTCTTGGTCCTTGCTGGGGTCGCTCCATGGTCCTTGCTGGGGTCGCTCCATGGTCCTTGCTGGGGTGGCTCCATGGTCCTTGCTGGGATGGCCACATGGTCCTTGCTGGTGTGACACCTTGGTCCCTGTCAGGGTGTCCCCACAGCACAAGCCAACCCCCGGAGCCATAACCCACAGCATGTCCTCTGCAGGGCCTGTGGGCTTCCAGTCCAACAACGTGCCACTGACACCCGGCATGTTCACCTCCATCGGTACGTGTCCCCACCGCTGCAGCCAGCGCCTCGGGCTCTCAGGGGTGTCCCCGAGGTGCAGACCCCGGCTGTGGATGGAGGTGTTCAGTGCCTGTCCCTGCTCAGGGGGCAGACACAGCCCCTCTGGGGTGGGGTGAGCTGGGCTAGGGGGTTGCTGGGGGTCAGGACTCACCGGGTGCCCTCCTGGCCCCCAGAGCCCGGGTACTACCGGGACGGCGAGTTCGGGATCCGCATTGAGGATGTCGCCCTCGTGGTGGAGGCTCAGACCAAGGTAGGGCAGTGGGGCTGGGCTGGCAGGGGGGGCACAGCACAGGGGGGCTGCAGGCCCGGGGCGGGGACACCCAATGGCACCGCTCTGTGGCAGCACCCGAGCGGGGAGAAGCCCTTCCTGACCTTCGAGGTGGTGTCCCTGGTGCCCTACGACCGCAACCTCATCGACCTCAGCCTCCTGTCCCCGGAGCAGGTACATGGTGCTTGGGGCAAGGGGGCAGTAAAGGCATGTGGGGCCAGCTATGGGGCTGGGCTTGCATATAGTGGGACACCAGGACCATGGCATGAGGCTGGGGCAGTTAAACCCTGAGGGGGGGGGATTCTGCCCCTCAGCCCTCCCCAGTACTGCCTCCAGCTCTGGGGCCACCAACAGCAGAAGGACATGGAGCTGTTGGAGCGGGACCAGAGGAGGCCACGGAGATGCTGGGAGGGCTGGAGCCCCTCTGCTGGGAGGGGGGGCTGAGAGAGTTGGGGGGTTCAGCCTGGAGAAGAGAAGGTTCCGGGGAGACCTTAGAGCCCCTTCCAGTCCCTAAAGGGGCTCCAGGAGAGATGGGGAGGGACTTTTTACAAGGGCTTGTAGTGATGTGCCAATGGGTAAGGGCTTCAGACTGAGAGAGGGGAGATTTAAGTCAAATATTAGGAAGAACTTGTTTGCTGTGAGGGTGGTGAGAGCCTGGCCCAGGTTGCCCAGAGAAGCTGTGGCTGCCCCATCCCTGGAGGGGTTCAAGGGCAGGTTGGAGGGGGCTTGGAGCAACCTGGTCTGGTGGGAGGTGTCCCTGCCCAGGGCAGGGGGTGGCACTGGGGGGGCTTTAAGGTCCCTTCCCACCCAAACCAGTCTGTGATTCTATTCTATGATCCTATGATTCAAAACGGGGTCGGGGCAGGGATGGGTGGGGGGATGGAGAGGGGCAACAGGGGATGAGGATGAGGCCAGTGACCAGGGTGTGGGGCAGCTGGATGGGCAGAGCCAATGGGGGAAGAGGGCTGTGGGCAGTGGGGGGTGCAGGCGGTTGAGGCAGCCCCCCACAGCCCCCACATCCCCCCGTGGTGCCCGGCTGCAGATCCGGTACCTGAACACCTACTACGAGACCATCCGTGCGCGCGTGGGGCCCGAGCTGCAGCGGCAGGGGCTGGAGGAGGAGTATGGCTGGCTGCAGAGGAGCACCGAGCCCTTCCCGCTGGGCAGCGCCGCCACCGCCGCCACCGCCACTGTGGGCACGCTGGCCATCGCCTCCCTCCTCTCCGCGCTGCTCACCGGGCTGCAGGCCTGACCCCCCCTCGCCCCCCCGCCCGCGCCGCCGTTTACTTCTCCCCACCGCTCACTTCCTTTTTTTTTGTTGTTTTCTATTCTCTCGTTTGCCATTAAACATGAGCGACACCGGCGGGTGCCTGTGCGCTGCTGCGCCCTGCCTGGGCAGCCATCCCCCATGGACAGTGTGGGGCTGGGGGTCTGGCCCCAGACGTGTCACCCTCCCCGTGCAATCTGCCCCGCACCGGTGGCAGATTTGGGGCAGATTTTAATTCTCAGGACAAGAGATGGAGGAACTGAAGCAAGAGGGTGCAGGGCAGCCAGCCAGACCAGGGCCATCCCCAATGCCCCATCGGGGCCAGGAGAACCTGAGGATGCAGGGGATGGAGGGGACATCCCAGACCAAGTGTCACGTGGAGGGGTTGGCCACTGGATGCCACGTGAGAAGAGCCTGGAGAAGAGAAGGCTCCAGGAAAGCTGGGGAGGGGCTCTTCATCAGGGAGGGGAGTCATAGCAGGAGGGGGAAGGGTCTGACACTGAAAGAGGGAAGATGGAGATCAGATACCAGAAGGAACTTGTTTGGTGTGAGGGTGGTGAGAGCCTCGCGCTGCTGCGCCCTGCCCGGGCAGCCATCCCCCATGGACGGTGTGGGGCTGGGGGTCTGGTCCCACACGTGTCACCCTCCCCGTGCAATCTGCCCAGCACCGGTGGCAGATTTGGGGCAGATTTTAATTCTCAGGACAAGAGATGGAGGAACTGAAGCAAGAGGGTGCAGGGCAGCCAGCCAGACCAGGGCCATCCCCAATGCCCCATCGGGGCCAGGAGAACCTGAGGATGCAGGGGATGGAGGGGACATCCCAGACCAAGTGTCACGTGGAGGGGTTGGCCACTGGATGCCACGTGAGAAGAGCCTGGAGAAGAGAAGGCTCCAGGAAACCTGGGGAGGGGCTCTTCATCAGGGAGGGGAGTCATAGCAGGAGGGGGAAGGGTCTGACACTGAAAGAGGGAAGATGGAGATCAGATACCAGAAGGAACTTGTTTGGTGTGAGGGTGGTGAGAGCCTGGCCCAGGTTGCCCAGAGAAGCTGTGGCTGCCCCATCCCTGGAGGGGTTCAAGGCCAGGTTGGAGGGGGCTTGGAGCAACCTGGGCTGGTGGGAGGTGTCCCTGCCCAGGGCAGGGGGTGGCACTGGGGGGGCTTTAAGGTCCCTTCCCACCCAAACCAGTCTGTGATTCTATGAGTGGACACAGCGGAGGGGTTGGGGACCTTCACCCTTTGGATGGTGCCCACCAGCAGTACCGCCGAGGGGCAGCAGCATGGCCGTGGGGCGTCAGGGTGCAGGGAGGCATCTCCCCCAGCCCCGGGGGGGCCCAGGCAGGGCAGCAGCTCCGTGGAGGGTTTCCTTCCTCCTGCCGCAGCCCGCGCACCCCGCTGCAAGCGCCTCTCATGTGACCGACGGCTTCCTGTGCGCTTCCCGGCCCCGGTGCCGGTGCCTCGGTACGTGCCGTGCCAGGCGCTGCCCCAACGCCGCGTCCTCGCCGCCGGGCCCTGGCACCATGCTGCGCCGCAAGCCCTCCAACGCCGGGGAGAAGGAGTCGGGACACAGGAAGGTGAGCACCAGTGGCACTCGGTTGCCCTTGGCATCCGCTGGTGTCCCCGTGTGCCCAGCACTGGCCAAGGCTGGGTTGCCCATGGGATGCTGAGCAGGGAGCCCCGGTGTTGTGGGGTTGGGGGAGCCATGGGGCTGCTCCCCACGGGATCTGGGGGCAGTGCCACCAGCAGTCAGTCCCTGCCACCACCGGCCACCGTGGCCCTGCCGATGGATGGTCCTGGCCGCGTCCCGTGTCCTGCTCCCACCCCGGTTTGCAGCCCGGTGGGATGGGCAGCCGGGGGGTCAGACCCCATGGGCCGGGTGGGTGCAAGCCAGGGTGCTGGTGGGACCCATGGGGCTCTGCTGGGGGGGAAACAGAGGCTCCCCCTCCCCACGGCTCCCCGCAGTGTGGGCGGCCGCCTGCCGTTTCCTGCCGGGGGGACAGCCATGGTGCCGGCACACAGCTCCTGGCAAGGTGTCTGCGGTCGAGGCCGCGCGAGGCTGCAGCTCCATCACGTGTGTCAGCCGCTTCCTCCGGCAGCACCGCACCGAGCGCCGGCAGCCACCGGCTCCCAGCACCGCGGGCTCCCGAGCCCCCAGCACAGCAGGGCCAGGGTGGGCTGCGGTCCTGCCCCCGGCGGGCAGACATCCCGGCACAGCCACACACCACGGCAGCTCCTCCGTGCTGGGAAGCTCCCGGGGGGAATCTGTGTGAAGCCCCCCCTCCCTGTGCTGGGGGTGGCCCAGCGAGCCTGGCAGGCCCCACTGGGCATCCCCTGCCCTTGCCCAGCCACCACCGCTGCTCTCACTTCCCTCTGGCTGCCATGCTGTCCGGGAGGGTCCTGGCTTCCACAGCTCCATGGCCCCAGGCTTTCCAGAGCTTCTCTCACCCCCCCCGGCTCCTCCAGCCCTGGGGGGCTTTCCTGGCTGGGGGCGGGGGGCACAGGGCATGAAGCTGTTATAGCTGGAGGTGAGGGAGAGACCCCAGGGGACCAAGCTGCCCGGGTCTCATGGGTTTGGGGGTGCTGGGGCCAGAGCTGGGTAAAGCACCAGCATCTCCCCAGGGATGCTCCGGCTGGTCCTGCCACGTAAAGCCACAGTGGGGATGGAACCGGGTCTCCCTCCCCTGAGCCGGGCCTCTATTAGAAAATGGCAGAAATAAGTAATAAAAGGGGCTGAGTCGAGATGATAAAAAGGCGGAGGGGAAGGCACGGGGCCATGCCTGAGCAGGGCTGGGCTGAGAAGGAGCTGAGAAGGAGCTGAGAGGAGCCTCGGCCACCTCCGGCAGCAGCAGGAGCTCGCCCCTGAGCCGGGCCTCTATTAGAAAATGGCAGAAATAAGTAATAAAAGGGGCTGAGTCGAGATGATAAAAAGGCAGAGGGGAAGGCACAGGGCCGTGCCTGAGCAGGGCTGGGCTGAGAAGGAGCTGAGAGGAGCCTCAGCCGCCTCCGGCAGCAGCAGGAGCTCGGGGCGAGCAGAGCGGCTCGGGAGGGGAAATCGCTGCCGTTGTGGTCCAGGCGGGACCGGGCCCCGCGGTGTGAGCTCTGAGCGCGGCGATGGCCCCCAGCGGAGCTCCCCCAGCCCCGGCACCCAAACCAGCTCCCACCGCAGCGCCGGAGCTGGGCATCCGGGAATGAGGGAGACCCAGGAACGAACAGGTGGCCATCACCGAGGGTGGTCCTGGCGTGGGGAACCCTTCCCACCTGGAACAGGCACCCAAGGACACGGAGAGGAGGGAAGGGGAGCCAGGCAGGGGGGCACGGGGAATTCCGGAGGAGGCGGTGATGGAGGACTGAGACCCAAAACCCGCTTTGGTGGCTTTGGCACAGAGCTGGGGCTCAGCTCCCTGGCCATGCTGGCAGGGGACGTGCTCCCCGGGCCGTGGGACGGTGCTCGCAGGCAGGAAACATGAGCAGCTTTTGGGGCCGGAGCTGAACGTGAGGGCAGGGGCAGGGCAGGGCAGTACCCCTGCTCCCCACCGCTGGAAACAGCCCGTGGCTGTCGGACACTCACAGGGAAGGGAGGGACCAGGCCACCACAGCACGAGGTGGGTCCCACTCTGCTCTGGTCCCCAAAACGCTGTGCCAAGGGGCCATGTACGCGCTGAGAGCGATGGAGGGGCTCTGGGGGGAGTCCTGGGGGTTCACAACACACGGCGGCTCTTGGGGGAGGCAAGGAGGGCCAGGCTGTGGCAGACAAAAACCTCTTCCAGCAGCAGCATCGCCCTGGAGCGGCCGAGGGAGGGTGGGAACTTGGCACGGGGCCGGGGGGACGTGGGGAGAAGCCCTCACACCTTTCCCTCTGCCCCCAGCTCTCCCTCCAGCGCTCCAGCAGCTTCAAGGACTTCGCCAAGTCCAAAGTCAGCTCCCCCGCACCGAGCGAGAAGGAGTTCAACCTGGAGGAGAACGTGAGTGCCCAGGGGCAGCACCCCCTGCCACGTCCTGCTCCCCTGAGACCACCCTCCCGCTGGGCACAGCCCTTTTCAGAGCCTGCTCCCCCAACTCCTGGTGCTTCTGGTGGCCCACATCCCGAGGAACAGCCCCAGGAGCTCCAGCACTGGCAGGATTTGGGGTCTCCCTCCCCAGAGAGTCTTACAGCTGAGGTTTGCCCGGGGCAGGGGGCTCTGCCTTCACTCTCCCCCCCTCTGCCCAGATCCCCGAGGATGAGCCCAGCAGCGCCGGCCCCGAGGACGCCGCACGGAGCAGCGGGATGAAGCTGGGCAAGAAGTGGCGGGCTGTCATCTCCCGCACCATGAACCGCAAGATGGGCAGGATGGCCGTGAAAGCCCTGGCGGAGGGGAAGGTGAGCAGGGGGGGGCCCAGGTAGGCGGGGGGTCAGCCGCCCCCCCATCCCTTGGCCTGACCCCGGTCCCCCGGCAGGGAGAGATGGAGGAGGAGGGGTCCCCGTGCCCCCTGTCCCCAGCCGGCAACACGGAGGGGCCCAGCCACGAGAAGGTGCCCCTGTCCTACGTGGAGATGGAGGAAGACGGGCACCCAGCGCTCGGCCGCCAGCTGTCCAGTGGTGAGCCCGACCCCGGGGGGATTCTGGCCCCTTGCCCCACAGCCGGGGGGGCACGTCCTCACCTCCCTCCCCTCTGCAGGCAGCGAGGTCTCCAGCCCCGGGGGCAGCCAGCGGGAGAGCCTGCAGCTGGAGGAGAGCGGCCCAGCCTACACCGGCCCCTTCTGCGGCCGGGCCCGCGTCCACACCGACTTCACACCCAGCCCCTACGACAGGGACTCCCTCAAGCTGCGGGTGAGCCAGGGGCTGGGGGGTGTTGGGGCCAGGGAGCAGGTCCTGGGGAGGGAGGGTGGCCGGGGACCCCCCTGTGGAACCCCCAAGCTTGTACCCGCCTCCACCCCCCATCTCCCTCATCTCAGAAAGGGGACATCATCGGCATCATCGAGAAGCCGCCCGTGGGCACCTGGACGGGGCTGCTCAACAACAAGGTGGGCTCCTTCAAGTTCATCTACGTGGACGTCCTTCCCGAGGAGGAGGCCCCCCCCCGCAAGAGCCGGGGCTCCGTCAAGAGCAAGCGGCCCAAGCCCAAGACCCTCCACGAGCTGCTGGAGCGCATCAACCTGCAGGTAAGGGGGGGGCCACCCAGCTCGAGCCCGGGGTCCCGCCAGCAGCAGGACCACCCTCCCCTCTGCGTGGCGGCCAGCGGGAAGGGCACGGCGGGGAGGGCCGGGGGTAGCCATGCAGCACCCCGCTCACCCCCGCATGGTGCCCATGGCAGGAGCACACCTCCACCCTGCTGCTCAACGGCTACCAGACCCTGGAGGACTTCAAGGAGCTGCGGGAGACCCATCTCAACGAGCTGCACATCACGGACCCCCAGCACCGCGCCAAGCTGCTCACGGCCGCCGAGCTCCTGCTGGATTACGACAGTAAGAGCCAGGGGGGAGGTCGGGGATACCCCAGGGTACCCCCACGCCGGGCAGCCCCAGCCCTGCTCCCCGCTGACACCGCGTCCCCTCTCCCCCAGCAGCGAGTGAGCCGGAGGAAGGTGACAGCTCCGAGGCCCAGCCTTCACCCTTGGAGCCCAAGGGGGACATTCCCCGGGACTCGGGCTGCTTCGAGGGATCGGAGGCCTTAGACAGCAGCCGGGACGAGGCCGAGCCGGGCGGGCCTGAGGGGCAGCTGCAGGCGCTCTCCCTGGCAGAGTCCTCCTGAGCCTGCCCTGCCGGCACTGCCCACCGACGGGCGCAGCCCACCCCCGGCAGTGGGTCCGGCTGGAGGGGATGGCTGCTTGCGGGGGGGACACTCAGGTGAGCCCTGGCAGCAGGACCCCGCAGGCAGCTCGGCCCCCGGTCCCATTTGCTGCCCCCAGAACATTTTGTACTGCACTGCCCCGCACCCCTACCCTGACGTGGGTGCTGCAGGCACCCCGGGCACCGCGCCCCCCACCCAGGGCCTGGGTCACCTCTCCGGGGGTGGCCCCACTTCACCCACAGCTTCAGAAGCTCCCCCCGGAGCCCTCGGCTGCTGGGCTGAGCACACAGGAGCCTGCAGGGACAGGCAGGGCCAGAGCAAACCCAGTGCTGAGCAACTGGGTGGGAGAGCCCAGAGATGCCACCCAGCCCAGCTCCTGGCCACGAGGGAGGACACTTCCTCCAGCACCTTCCTCGCACAGCCAGGGCAGGCAGGGAAAGGTTTGCTGGACAACTGTGGGGGGAGAGGTTCAGCCGCGCTGGGAGCAGCCCAGCAAGGGCATCATGAGCCCCCTTCCTCAGCTCAAGGGGAGCCCCAGAGGCCACCAAGGTGGTCCAGGGGGTCCAGGGGGGCTAGGAGAGATGGAGTGACCGTCCTGCTGCGCGATGGGCTCAGCAGAGTGAGGATGTCACCCAGCACAGCCCCATCCAGACCCCCCCAAAGCACCCCAGACAGCCCCCAGGAAGGGGCAGGGGAGCTGCAGCCCAGCCAAGGCCCCCCTGCATGGGCAGGGTCGTGGCAGGGGCAGGCACCAAGGGATCTCCAAGGGAGAAGGACGCATCAACCGGCTGCTCCCCAGCTGGGGGGACCTGCCCCAGCCCCTTTGGGCCAGCCCTGGCTGCTGTGGGCCACCAACTCCAGTTCCCGCGCTGCAGCAGCGGCCCGTGGGCACCCAGACTGTTCCTTTGAGCTCCATCCCAATAAACGCCTGCAAGACCATTTCTCTCCAGCATTTAGCCTGCTTCCGACCTACCCAGGGAGGGAGTTGAGGGGGAGCAGTGACTGCAGGTAACCGAGAGCTTCCCAGGGCCCTCCCTGGCTGCACCCGCCAGGATTTGTCACCCCTCAGCCCGGGCTGCAGCACCCACACACCCAGACCCCCCTCACCCGCAGGACGCAATGGGACGGCGCGGACAAGACACCCTGAGGCATGAGATGAAGAGGCTGGAAAGGCACAGGGAAGGGGGCAGCGGGCGTGGGGAGGTACAGACAGAGGCAGAGGCTACAGCTCAGCCGTTTTTCAAACCAATTAAGTTTCCTTCATTGTTTTCAAATTAAAAAAAAAAAAAAAAAAAAGAAGAAGAAGAAGAAGAAAAATAAAGAAACACCAACCCTCGCCCTACCCCCACTTCCTTCACAGAGAACCTGAACGGAGCAGGCAGGAACCACAGGTGCAGGCAGCCTCCGCGCCGGCCCCAGCAGGCAGCACTCCACACACCACCCTCCAAAACACATTAGTAAAACCAAAAAATACACTTTTTCACAACGAGTTTGAGATTTGGTCAGTAGCGTGTTGGGGTGGGTGGGAGAGGAGGGGAGCTCCCACGGCCGGCGGGGGGTGTGGGGCCTGGGGCTGGTCTCAGGAGCCCCCCTGCCCCGGGGGTGAGGGGCCAGGTCTGGCTGCAGGGGGGCAGAGGGTGGGAGCCGGGCAGCTCCAGCCCCGCTGGCCGTGGGAGGCCCGAGCTCCTTCCCTTGTATGTGCCAGCAGGGACCAGCTGCAGGGACACTCTGAACCCGCTGCCGGAGCCCAGGGCGGCAGCTCTGCCCTCTTGCCCAGGAGAGGAGACCCTGGCACTACGGGAGAGGGGCCAGCACCAGTCACCACGTTAATGCCATGTTAATACCACTTCGGCCACTGCCAGGCACGGCCCAGGTCAACACTGTGAGGGGCCAGGGAAGAGGAGCAAGTTGGGAGGCACACATCGGGGGGACAAGGCCCCCGCTTCGCTCACGCCACTGTCGAAAGCAGGGTGGCACAGGAGGCCAGGGAAGGAGGGTGACAGAGAACCAAGCAGGACTGCCCCAGTGGGACATCCTCCTCCTGCCACCCACTCACCCCATGTCTGTGGGGAGGCACAGAGGGACCCAGCACTTGGGAGAGCCCAAAACTACCTTCCTTCCATCTCCAGCCCTCGCGGGGACCCCCCAGACATGAGGCTCCTCCCAGCCTGGCTGTCGGGCACAGCACAGGGAGCGTGGTGCTGGGAGGGGAGCCCTGTCCCAGCACAGAGCTCTGCCACCGCCGCCTGCCCCGGCCTCTCCTCCCTGGGGCAGCTCTAAGGCACCACACGGCCCGGGCAGCCCCGGGAAGAGCCAAGGCTCTGGAGGCCTGGGGATGGCTGAGAAATGCAGGGAGGGACACGGGGACACAATGACATGACACAGAATGGGGGCTGAGGCTCTGCAGAGCAGCGTGCCACAGCCTGGGGGGCGAGGGGAGGGCACGCCGGAGCTCGGCGCTGGCACCTGGGAGCAAACGCAGCCCTGGCAGGAGCTGGAGAGGTGGTGGCACAGGGTGACACTCCCCTGCAGCTCGCTACAGCCCTTGCACAACCGCTCTGCGGCCAGCGCGGGGTGGAGACAAGCGGCAGGAAGACGGGGTGCCCCCTCCCTCCCTCGAGCCCCGAGTCGGGCGTGAGCCCCGGGGAAGGAGGGGAAGGAGGGGAAGGAGGGGAAGGAGGGGAAGGAGGGGAAGGAGGCCCCCGCCATGACTGCTCTCACACCGGCTCAGTCACACAAAAAGAAGGAGCACGGGAAGGAAGCTACTTTAAAAACCGTTGCCAGCAGAACACCTTCCCAGCTGTTTTGGCCCTTTTGGCACCAAAATGTCTCCAGACAAGCCCTGCCACGTTAACCAATAAAACAATGCCACAGATTAGCGGAAGGAGGGAGGAGGGGGGAGAGGACGCTACTGCCATAAATTGCTTTCCCCTTCCCATCAGGATTCCTCAGCAGTAGGGAGCAGGCCAGCCCTAATGTCGCTTCTGAGCTGCTTGACAACAAGTCGCCTCATCAGAGAGTCGGGGCCAGAGGCGGGGACAGCCCCGGCCACCGAGCCCGTATTTAGCATCCAGGACAACCTGCAGAGCAAGAGGTCCTGCCTCGGCCCGCAGGCAGACCAGCCCCAGTGGCAGTGAGAGCCCCTCGGTGACCAAGGCGGGCCACTCGGGCTCGTTACCCTTCGGCACCGTGCAAGGCCAGCGCCGGCCCACACCGCCCGCGCATCCCGGGGAATAATGACTAAAGCAAAATGGCCATGAGGAATCGTTTGCCTGCCATCCAGCCCATCTCCTCCTCTCCTCCGTCACTTCCAGCTTTGATTAGACAAAACAAGAAAGTTCTCCCTTTCAAGCAGATGCTAGTGTTCTGCTTGCCCAGTGTCCTGGGATGGGACCGGGAGCTCCCCAGACGTTAGCTGCTTCTCCTCTGGCACGTCAGCGTCGCTCAGGGGTGGTGCAGGGACCTGGAGACAGAAGACAGCAGTGACTTGCAGGAATACACCCCAGAGAAACAGCAGCTCATGCCCAAGCAGGAGAAGGCTCTGCCACTTCCCACCGTATTCACGGAATAATTTAAGTGGGAAGGGCATTCTGGAGGTCTCCAATCCAACCACATCCTTAAAGCAGGGCTAGTTCCAAAGACAGAGCGGGCTGCTCGGGGCCATACCCAGTGGGGCAATGGCTTTCTCCAAGGACAGAGATCCCACACCTGCAAACTCCCACCCCTCCTCAGCCCCTCCTGCCTCCGTAATCACCAGCTCCTGGGGGTGCCCTCAGGGCAGAACTGACAGCTCCAAAACCGCAGCCAGCTGTGATTTCCTCTGAGGTTTACTAGGACTCCGAGGAGCCCAGCACGCTCCTGGCCAGCTCCAGAGAGACACTGGTTTCCAGGGCCAGAGCACAACAGGCTTTAAATTGGCGACCTCTCAGGGAGGCCCCAAGTGTTGCTCTGTTCCTGCTGAGTCACACTATCAGCTTTTCCTCTGCTGGCCCAAAGCACCAGCGACTGCAAGCAGGACACCCCCTCATCCCCACTGTTCCCAGAGGGAATCACTCACGGCACTCGGGTGAGGGACGCTGCCATCCTTCCGCTGAGCGCTGCCCTCCTCTGCCTGCCCACCGGGGGGGCCCTGAGCAACGGGGGGCTCTTGAGAGCTGGGCCCCCGCGGGCACGACTCCTCCTGAGCTGTGCTCTCCTCCTGCTGCAAGATGCCCCGTCTGTCCAAGACACTGCCAGAACAGAATCACACCATCAGAGACCCCACACCTCTCCCAAAGCCAGCTTCTCTCCCAAAGGAGAGCTCCTCCCAGTCCCGCACTGGGCTCTGGGGCAAAAATGGGCAGGGCTGCCCCTCGAGAGCCTACCTGGGGGGGAGAGGCCCACAGAGCACCTCACAGCAGTTCTTCACTATGTTGCCATGGCTGTAGGGGTTCTGCACGCGGTTCTTCCCAGTCCAGGACCCCTTAATCTGCAACAGACAGGGCAGAGGCTCAGGTCTGCTCCATTGCCACCCGCAGGGAGCCCAGCCTGTGGGGCACGGCAGCCAGGGGGGCACGGCCGTGACGCACCAAGGAGGCGAGGATCAGAGGAACAGAAAGACTCTACTTACGTCTTCGTTGGTTGTCTGATTCAGTGCCACCAGGAAGGTGTGGAACCCAGTTAACCCCACCACCGACCACAGGGTGAAGAAGCAGATGAGCACCTCCAGTACAGTGAGAAGAGTTAAGGACTGGGAACAGCCAGGAACAGCCCCAGCCCAGCTGTGTCACCACCCCAGGCACACCGCCCTAACTTCCCTGCTTCTCCTTGACATGGTTTTGTTTTACCCTCCTCCCAAAAGCCACGGAAGTGCTCCTCACCTTGTAATCATGGGGGAAAATGCCCTGAAAGACCCCTTAGAGAAGCCCAGGCATCAAGGCTCCAGCCCCTCCATAACACAGCTCACACTGACCCCCAGCTTTGGAGAAGCCAACCCCTCCGCACCATGGAAGGATATGTCCCCGGGGTTTCCTTCAACGTGTTCAGAAACCCAATCTTCAGAGATTCTGGTAATACAAAGAGAGAGATACTTTTTGTCTGGAACGTCTCGCTGAGTCCAGTTCCCTTTCCCCCTCCATCACCTCTGGGTTCACAGCACCATCTGTGCCCCCGCTGCCCCTCAGCCCCCCCAGCCTCCTGCCCCCCGCAGACTCACTCAGTGCTACGTAGACTATGTTGAAGGTGAAGATGTAGATGGTGAGGAGTGAGAGCGAGAGGATGAAGAGGTAGAAATAGCGGTAGTTCCTCTTCCCCACGCAGTTGCCCACCCAGGGACAGTGATGGTCGAAGCGCTCTGTGAAAGGGAAGATGGAGATCAGTGCTGCTCTGCCACGGCCCTGCCGGCCTCCACACACTACTCCTCCTCCAGGCCTTACCCCTTCCAGACCCTACCCCTGTGCCCCAAACTCAGAAAATTCCAAGGCTGACGAGGGCTCCCTGGACCACCAAGTCCAATCCTCTGCTAACTCAGGGCCCCACATCATGGTCCCCTTCCAGAAGGGGAGACCAGGTAAGAAAATGCAAAAAATGATCTACTAATGAGTTGTTTTGCACATTAAGACAGAGCTTGGCCCCATGCATTTCTTCTCCCCCCGAGACCTGAGGTATAATAGCTTTTACTAGAGCAGCACACGGGTTAGATGAAGGCCTCGGGGTTCAGAATTTCTTATCTAACCCATGTGCCACTTTATTCCTACTAGGACAATTAGAAGGGAGTTCAAGGAACTGCATAAACATGCAAAGGGCTGGGAACCTGCAGAGGAGGAAAGGGATTCAAAAGAATGGGATTTCTTCCTTGAGAAGGGATGTTGAACATGAGCCAACGATGATACACAAGAGCTAAGACAGAATCTGCTGTGCAGGGAGGGGAACACACACCAGGAGCACCGGTCGCACCAGCAGAATCTCCGTGCTGATGCAAGGAGCTGCCTTCACACAAGACACAGCTCTCCACTGGAAGCCTCTAGCCCAGCACGGCCAGCAGTGAGCAACACTCAAAAGCAGGCTGCACGTTTCCACTATTTAGGCTAGTTAGGCTTATGTTAGACTAGTTATTGCCAAAGAAGCAATGGCAAAGATGAACCACCTGGCTTCAAGTTCTGAGCAAATCTCAAGCTCCTGGAGCTTCAGATGAAGCAGGCTGTCCCTGTCTGTTCACAGCACACCGTGCTGGCCTCGCTCAGTGTGAGACCCGATGTGGAGTGAGACCTGGTCTCTCCCAAAGGCTCCCCCCTGACCCCCAGCTGCAGGAACCTCTTCTACTCACCCACACAGTTGTCGCAGATGCTGCAGTGAGAGGCACGGGGCGGACGGAAGATCTTACACGTGTAGCAATACTTCAGCTTCACTATCTGGTTGTTGATCTGGAAGTTTTTAATCCGCGGGGGCGGGCGCTGACCCTGCGGCACGGTCCCGTTGGTGGCCTCTGGGAAAGAGGACCAAGCAGAGATGAGAACCACCTGCTACACCAGTACAGGCCTAGAACGAGAACTCGCCTCCTTGCTTCTCCTACCCACAGGACCGGGGCCTGCTAGGTCCTGCTAGGTCCTGCTAGGTCTAGAGCCAGCGGCTGCAGCTCTGCTCGCACTGTCCAGAGCCAAGCTGGCAGCTTGGAGGCAGGAATAAGGATGCCAGAGCTTTCCTGGGCAGATTGAGCAGAGATGGGGGGGGAGCGTCACTCTACAGACGCCCATCCACCAAACTTCCCCTCTACCTGAAGGACCAGGGGGCCCACACCAAACTTCCTGCCCCCCTTCCCGAAAGCAAACAGAGTTTGTATGTGCACAGCTACAAGAGAGAAAACAGCACGTGAGAAGTTCCCAGAAAGGGAAGCAGGTACTTCGCACCATCTTTTTGAGACTCAGACAAGCAAAATTAGCCACCAATCCCCACTTCTGGAGGGCCAGCCAGGAGGAAAGGCTCCGCAGAGAATGTAACCTGTAAATATGTCAGAAATGCAGAGGCTTTTCCAGCTCTCACCAGCTCAGCTGGCTCCTCACTCACCGATCTCCATCTCGATGAAGGCTGCCTCGTCAGGCAGGGCTCTGGGGATCACCCCGGGATCGCTGAAGCTGGTCCGCAGGAGCGTGGCCATGGCGAAGAGGAAGAGAACTGCTGCGAAGACGGGGATGGCCGGGGAGAGCTGGACCGCCAGGTACCGACACCTGCGGAGAGACGGCAGGAGGCCATGAATCAGACCAGCGCACGCTCCGCCCGAGCCAGGGCCTGAGAGCCTGGCACGGCATCAGAGCCTAGACTTTTCTGCACACTGGTTCCATCTCGAGAAGAGAGGCTGTTCAGCGCTTCCTCCCAGTCCCACCCATCCGGGGAAACACCCCTGGGGCAGCTCTAACAACTACCCACGCTCAAAGTACCCCCGTGTTTTTAACCAGCCAGGCACAGCATACTTTCCAGCGTTTTGGTTTGTTTCCAGCTGACTACTCACGCTCAAAGTACCCCCGTGTGTTTAACCAGCCAGGCACAGCCTACTTTCCAGCGTTTTGGTTTGTTTCCAGCTCCCATTTTGCTCAGAGTCACAGTGACAACAGAAACTGGCCAGAAGGACCCCGCCGCAGCCTGCTGCCGAGGGACAGACCCAGGAGAAGCACCCATGGCCTGGTCCCAGAATCCACCACTGGAGAGAGCTGGCAGGCACAGAAGCCCAGATCTCTGGCTGTCCTCTAGAGAGGCAGCAGCTTCCAGTACCACAGAAATGACTTTCCAGGGATGAACCGCATCCTGTGCTTCTCAGGAATGGATTCAGGTGGCAGTGCAACATTCCCGTGCAACAAGACGTCTGGCTTCCTTTGACTTTTCTGAGGGAAAGGACTTGAAAGGTCCAACTGAAGCAGAAAGGCTCCTGCTCCCAGACCAACCCAGCTCAAGAGAGGAAACACAGCGTAAGGTTTGTTTGCTTTATAAATACAGAAAGGTCCAATGAGGAATTTATGCCGCTAATCCCGCTGATTGAGGTGGTGCAAAGGGAGCAAGTACATTAATTTCTCTGTGGCCCCCGTCACCTCTGGACACCCGCAAACATGTCTGCATGGGCACCGCAGCACAGGCCATGCAGGAGTCATGGGTTAGAGACACACTCGCCTGAAAGAAAACATACTTTTACCCCGATTCCTTCAGAAAACCCCCTTTATGTTGGGGTGAAGTTCCTATGGATGTTTCCCATGGTTTAATGGAAAGCCCACCCAAATCCCAACGGTTCTGCAAAATTCCCCCTCTCCTTGCACTCCTGCTTGCCTGGGTTCCTCCCGACGAGGTTGGGTTCCCAAGCTCTCTGGTGAGCCCTGACTCCAGAGGGGTGGATCCAGCCCAGGCTCCTGCTCCCATCCACAGCTGATCTCCAAGAAAGCATAAGGCTACTGTGGTGAAAGGCACGGGATTATCCTCCCTGGTGGATCTCTCATCCTAAGCAAGGTGATTCGTACGACATCCGTAGCATTAACTATTTAGTTCTGGATCACCTTCCCACCCATAGCTTCTCCATAATGCAATAAAGGTTCTAGCTCCAGATGGCTCTTTTGCAGCACTGGATTCTGCAAGCCCACCATCTACTGCAGAAGCCTCACCGGGCTTTCATTTGCCGTTGCTAGACTCCAGTGACTGTCCCCTGTGTGTGATGAGGTACAGAAAGGGCTGTACACTGAGACTACGGTGTGCTTTGGTCACAGCCACAACACGAAGCATCCACAGCGATGCACAGGGCCTGTCCCCATAACCAACAGCGTTAATTTTAGACACTACAAACTGTGCAGTTACTTAAAACAACACAACCCATAGAGGTGTCTGTGTGCAGAGCCCTGCCTACACCCAAAGAGGCAGGCGGAGTGGCCACAGGGCTGAGCTCACCGACTGTAGGCAGCTTCAGACAACTTCACTTTCTTTTCACAAGGGCAAAGTCTAGAGAGAGAGCTGCAAGTCAGCCAGCAATTAAACAGAAACCTTGGATCCCATTTTGGGAAGGAATATGGGTTTATTCTTCTAAAAGCTGGACGCGGTCCACCTCAAAGGGCTGCAGTTTGACCCATGTTCAGCTGACATGACAGCTTTTATAACTGTTGTAACAACACGAACATGTTACAGGCTTAAAATATGGATTCATGAACTGTGTTAAAGCTGAGCCAAAACTGCGCCAGAGCTCCCAGCCTCAGATATACACTAACACCTTATAAGTTTCTTCAGTGCACTGTCAGCCAGGAGATTTATTACCTGCAGGCACATGATCGGTGCCGGGTGCTCTCTCCCGGGCACAGACCTGGAAGCTTTGCACAGCAGCGCTCAGGGAGCATCGGGATCAGTCCCTGCCGCAGCCCATGCCGTCCCCGCTCCATCTGCGCACGAGCGTGGGATGTGACTCACTCCCTGCTGACCATTCCCTGAGCATCTTTGTGAGGAAACCTGCCCTTGGGGGATGCAGCACGCCCTGCTGTCCCCGAGGCACAGCAAGAGTGGCCTCCAGACTGACGATACCACACCACTGAGCGCGGCATGGGAGTGGGAAGAGGGAATGGGAAGAAGCCTGCAATTTTAGGAGATGAAAGAGATGAGTGCGTGACTGTCCTGCCCACTGTGGTGAGGGAAGCAGCAGCATCCAGCCGGTGTCCAACCCCTCCATCCAGCTCCCAGCGTGGCACAGGCACGGGGCAGGCTAGGTCTCCAGTTGAGGAGGGGAGAGAAGCGATCCCAGAGTGTCTGTCTGCCCAGAGGCCAGCAGCAGAGAGGGACAAAGCCCCAGCAAACACCAGATGCCTGCTCTCCTGTCTGATGGGGAAAAGACTTCTAGAAGCTTATGCAAGGAAGTGTTAATGCTGGCTCCTGCAGCCCCCATTCACCGAAGTGCATGAGGTGTCTGCTCAGTGAAGCCATTGTCCTGTTGTCATTGTCCCTCCAGCACGAAGCAAACATCCCAGCACCACGCTGGACACTCAGTCCCATCGCTCAGCCATGCCCCAGCACAGCAGGGGCTGAGCAGGGCTCTCCTGCCTCCCCAGGATGCTGGGCTGGCAGCGCTGCTGGATCCCCTCGAACGAGCACGGCCCGGGGCCAGGTCAGAGATGTGTGAGCGAGACAAACCCCCACCGTGCTGAAACTGCACCCCAAAACCCAACACCGAGCCCACTGCCTGCCTCCCGCCCCGCACTGCGCTGGCGGAGCCTTGCTTTCGGGAAGGGGCCTTCCAGGGAATGTGCCCCGTCCACCCGCCAGGGCAGAGAGAGCCCCGCACCGGCCAGAACAGCCGAGCAACAGGTACGGCCCCGCGTGAGGCTGTGCCTTGGTACTCACTCGCCCCGGGGAGCCCTCAGTCTGCGCCTCGACTCCAGCGCGATTACGCTCAGCAATTCATTTACAGTCCTAAGTAACAGACATTTTAAAGATCTTTTGTTTGGGAAAGCTGAGAGTCAACAGAGACATACTGTTGGCATGTACGGATATTGCTCCTCCTCCGCCCCCAGTGCAGTATCTGTGTTCTTGAGCATTTTGTCATCTAACAGCAGACAATAACAGCACTATCACAACTCATCATCATGGGGGACGGGGGGGGGACTGGGGGTGAGAAAGGCTTAAACAAAGAGATCATCAGAATGGAGCGGAGGGGGAGCAGCAAGAAGCAGCAGCTGGGATGTGCCATGAGTTCACAGCGCAAGGGGTGCTTGGCCGATTATTTTGTGACTTTGGAAGGTCTGTTTAAGCAGCACAGTAAGGAAAGCTCTGGAGGAAGGGGAAAACACGCCAGCCCCAAGGGAAGAGGACTTCAGCCATGGCCATCAGGCAGCACTTCTCACTGCCAGGCCCCTCCAGGGCTCAGCGCAAGCTCTGCTCTATAATTCATTTACATCTCGCTTGCAAATCACCTATTTAACTTTCCTAAACTAACACCTAACCACAACATGTACCTGTCCCGAAAGCTGGAGAAGCAGAGCCTTTCCCAAAGGCCTGGCCCTCAGCAGAGCACTCCCAGCCATCTGCATCTCCTGGACCAGGGATGGTTTCCCAGCGCTGATGTTGTGGTCATTTGCTCTGAACCCCTGGGTAATGGCCGCGCTGCCAAGCTACAATTCTGGGGCCCTTTCCCAAGCAGCAGTCAGGGAGAACCAGAACTGCCTACAGAAACTCTCCCCGGCTGTCGACAGCGATGCAGAAAGTGCTGCGAGGACACGGCACGAGCTTCCAACCCAAGCCATGCAGCAGCCGACCTCAGGCAGGGGACACAGAGGGTACACCGGCGTTATTGCTCCTCTCCCAGCTGCACTCCAATCTCCGGGCAGGCGGGAGGAGAGCACCCCGAGACCCGGTGCCACAGAGAAGGGCAGGCTGCGGGGAGAGCGAGTTGTCCTCTGAGAAGGAGCCCACGTACAAGAAAAAGGACTCGCAACTCACAAACCCGGGAGCAGCCACTTCACACAGAAGCCGATCAGCTGATTTGTACCAACAGGTTCACTTCTATCGAGAGAAACTATAATTCCCCAAAAGCGATAATCACCTTGACATAGACCTAACCAGAGGCAAAAGCCATCTCAGAAGCGCTTCTTTTTCAGTGCAAAATCTTGGATCTCTGGGGTTTGGGAAAAAAAATAAAAAATAAAAAATAAAAAATCAAGTCACATGAAGGGTCGAGCATAGATTTTTATCAACTCATCAGAAAACAAAGAAATTTTAATCTCTACGTAGCTAAGAAAGGAGAAAAAAAAATAAAGTGATAAAGGTACTTGGTTGTTGGCAAAGCAAACAGCAGCCCCTCTCCGTGCCCAGGAGCCTGGCGTCGCGGGCGCTATCTGGCCTGTAACATTTACAGAGGCTGGACCTTGGTGCTGGAAAGCTGAAGACAAAAGAAATGCAGTTCTCTTGCAGCTGCTCTGGAGAGCTGAATGGAGAAGCCTGGCTTCAGGAGGGCCATTACAGACACGCTGGCAACCTGCAACGGAAACCCCCAGCAGCCAGAGAGAGGACGCTACATCCCATCGTCTGAATTCCCATGTGGATTTCACTAATTGCTTTACCTGGGCTCCTCCTTGCGCTCCAATACGACAAGCGTAGCTGCACGACTAAGTGCCCTAGCACAAAAGCTGACGTCCCCAGTAAGTGTCTGAAATAATGCCAGCAGGATACTGAGCAGGATTTTCTGTGACGCGTTACGGTCCCAGAGTAGACCCAATTAGACACAGGTCTGGGACCCTGCAGGGACCGGCCCCAGCCCTGAGCAGCAGGAGCTGGTCTGCCCAGGCGGTGGGGAGAGGTGCCCTTGGGCAGAGGACTCCACGGCCCCTGCTTTATCTGGGAGGGAGGAGCCGATCTCCAGGTAGAGCACTGATAGCTCAGTCTCCCTGAGGAAAAGACTTACCCCATTCCAGACCGCAGCTCTGCAGTCTAGGGCATAAAAACATTAAAAAAAAAATCCCCCACACGGGGCTGAGGTGGCTTCAGAGCGTTCAACTGGAGATGTGGCAGATGAGCCGATGGCATCAGAGCTACTTGGAAGGTGGGGGGGAGTAAAAATACCAGCAGCAGCAGCCCAAACAGAGAGGCTGTCGTTTATTCCATGGCCGGGGAGGACTCTTTCGGGGAGAAACACTGGGCTTATCTCATGAGGCGCGATGCCAGTCACCACCGGCTCTCCAGCAACGGCGTTTGTAATCAGAGCCCAGCCAGAGCAGCCTGCAGGGCGAGGATCAGACCCGCGCCGGCTCCCAGCGCCCAGCGAGATGTTTTCTGGCTTCAGGCACCCCCGAGCCTTGTTTAGACAAGGTGTGACTGCGCAAGTGATTCAGCTGAATGAAACAAGCGCTCACAACACGGGCACCCCTGCAGCGAGCGCGCAGGAATTAAACGGGCTCCTCCACCCACCACAATCTGCTTCTCCCCAAACCCAGATCCCAACAACCCCAATCGTTCCTCCGTAGCACAAACTTTAAGAAGGAAACCACGAATTTCAGCACAAATCTGCCAGAAGCTGAAATGAATGGGTAACACAGCGAAAAGATGAAGGCCGAGCCCCTCAGGTAGAATCACCCCGATGCCCTCAGAAGGCACCCGGGGGAAGCAGGACCCTCGAGCAGCCAACCCGCCCAGCCGGGGCGGCGACGCACAGACGCTGCGGAGCGGTCCTGGCTGGGAAGGCAACAGCTCACCCCTGCCCCAAATTCAAAAATCCCCCAAGAATTTCCAACCAAACCCACCTCTTTCAAACAGAAAACTTTACGGTGCTGTGCTTTGAGAGGATCAAATGGGTATTTTGGATTTTCCCAAACTTTTCCTCATCTCCTGCTGGGTTTCAGGCAGCTTAACTAAAATTCAGAGATGACTCTGCTCCCAGCCAAACCTCCCGCAGGCCAGCAGCCCCCACAGAGACCACCCTCCAGCCCTATGCAAAAGGCACGTCCTGGGTGTCTCAGTGAGAGGAAGGACACGAGTGACCCTGCCACAGGCCTCTGCCTCCTGGAGCCTGGGAAGGGGCTTCTCGAGGAATTCCCAGGCCCTTGCTGCACCCATGACAAACCAGCCATCACACCACCGGCTCTGCTGGCACAGCCCCGCACTGGAAGGGCAGCCCTTGGGTCCCTCTGCCCCACACAACCACAGCTGGCGAGGGCAAACATGGCAGAGCGGGATGTGGCCTCGCTCTTCGGCTAAGGACAGGCTCCGCAGGGAGCGAGAGCAATTATCCCTCGCAATGAGTGTTTCTGGAGCAGTAACACTCAGTAGTTCTTCCTGCAAGGCAGGAAGTCTTAGCCCCATCTTTCGGATGGCGAAAACACCCAAACAACAGAACAAATGGTGGTGTCATTTCATACCTTTGAGTTCAGACTGAGTCAGGGATAATCTGGGCTTTCCGCTCTGGGGAACCCCAACACCTCACATCCCAGTCCTACGGCACCGGCCTCCACAGCTACACGACAACTAAGCAGAAAAACCAGTCTCATGCCTGACCAAGACCCAACATTTGCCACTTCATCACTGCTCTTGGGATGTGGCAAGCCTCCCCGGACTGTTCCAGAAAGCCCTTTCCCAAGCTGCCAGCGATACCCGCTAACAAGAGGAGCCAGGGAGAGCAATGCCTGGCCAGGGGAAGCTGAGACAAGTCCCCTGGCCTGGGGAAGACGTCCAGGAGGCCAGCATCTGGGCTGAGTGCTTTCTGTATCTGGAGGAATAGCCAGGGCTTAACCCTTGAGCAGTTTCTTCCGCTTGCTTTCCTGGCTTAAAGAGCTTTTGTGTTACCCAACACCATGTAGGACCTTGGCCTCTCTAAGAACAGCATAAACATGCTGATGAAGGCAGAGGAAGGAAAGTTTCACAGTTGTTCAGCTGATCCAAGCTCATCCTCAAACCAGGAAGAAGGGGCAGTCCTGTCCCCTCCCCACAACACCAGGGCTCAGCAAACAGAGGCCTTTTTTCCCCTTTGTTTGTTTTTTTTGGTGGGATTAGTCTAAGGCCAGATCGGTTCCCCAGCCCAGCTCACGGGGAGAGCTGTGGGGAGGGGGCAGGCCCTGCTCTTTTGGCAGCACCCAAGACCGGGGCTGCGGGTCTTTAGGCTGCCAAGCTGAGCTAAAAGGGCGGCCGGATCCTCTCCAAACACCAGAGCTCCCGGGAGCGTGTGCTGTAGTGCAGCACTCTGCAACACCCAGCCAGCTGGCGGCTGCAGGGCAGGTCGGATCGGTGCTAAACCAACCCCACTGCCACCGAGCTCACTCCTTTTTGTGTTAATTCTCCGGCTGGGTCACCTCCCTCACCGGGCTGACCGGGGGCAGGATGCAGGCTGGGCCCCGCTGGCCTCGGCTGCTGCAGCAGCAGTGCCCTTGCACCCCGGCTCTCCCCGGGCAAGGAGCAGGCACCCCAAACCCCCACCCCCTCCTGCCCCGCTCAGGTCAAGGGACTCCAAGTCCCAACCACAGGGAAGCACACGGAGAGCCGGCGTCACGCCGCAAGCAGAGACAAGGGAAAGCTCCCCCAAAACCCCCAGGGTCACCCTGCTGTGGGTGCAGGGGCAGAGCCCACCAGAGAGCCCCGCACCAGGCTCCTCTCCGCCACGCTCCCCTCCCGCTCCCAATGCCACCGGGCAGACGGGCCCTGCCCGAGCCCTGTCCCGGGGCCGCGGGGTCAGCCGGCCGCCGCGGGGAACTCACTCGAAGGCGAAGAAGAGGGCGCAGGTGCCGAGGATGAGGAAGAGCGTCAGGTAGAAGATGCCCTTCTGCCGGGCCATCATGATGCGGCCATCGCAGCAGAAGGTGTTCCTGCCCGGCAGCTTCTCCCATTTCCGAACCACCTTCTTCCTCGCCACCATCACCGACATGGCGGGGCCGTCACTGGGGCGGCGGCGGCCGCCACACCTCCAGGCGCTGCTGCTGCTGCTGCTGCTGCTGCTGCTGCTCCTCCACCGCCCGCGGCCCCGGCATCATCGGGGGGCGGAGGGGGCTCGGTCGGGGGCTGCGGGGAGAGGAAGAAACACCTCAGCACCGTGAGTGACCGGC